AAATCAAAAATCAGTATTTCCACAACCCATATGCAAATGAGGTCCGAGAGCAAACAAAGTAGTCCCTTCAGGAGTACCGTTTTTCAAAATAAACAATATTTAGAAGTACGATATTTTCCCCTCGGGGTACATGAATATACTTGCCGAGCGAAATGATATTTGAACAACAGTAATGGTACTTTTAGGCAGTCGCTTATTTTGAGTAAAACTAATTTGCATATCACCCATGCAATAATGTTTTTGGTATTTTCACGGTCGATATGCAAATGAACATGGTATTTCCATTGGCTACCAAACTATTTTTATTTTGTAAACACATTTTCGTGTGCTATTCTTATCCGGTTCAAACCGTTCAGCAACATTTTTGGTATGTCAGGTGTACATCACATAAAATACTACGATTGGGAGAACTTAATGTATGTTGATCACCTGGAAATTGAGTTATATAAACCTTGAAGGGCTCTCGAAAGTCCCACCCGCAGTAATATCAGCGATTACTATAGAGCCGCAACAGTCGAACATCGAAATACCAGGAGGTTTCTGCTGGCGACGTTGCAGCGTTACTCAGTTCCAAATAAAGATTACCCACGCCAAATGAGCAACATTTTAACCGGTAACCAAGACTCATTCAATCCACGACCAGCAAGCAATGTCACAAAAGAAGTTGTAGCTTGCAGCTCAGCGACGACCGCTGTCGACGAAAGTCTGTGGAGTACCGCAGTTGCACGGCTTGTTTGCCAATGTACAATTCTGTGGAGGAACTTTTAACTTCAACATGAACTGTGTATCATAATCATCCAGTTCAAGTTCTGGCCCTATCGTGGCCCCAACTAAACGTCCACGAGTAATTTATTCGGACAGTGATTCAGATTAGACGTCTGGTTATTTTATTTCCACACAGACAGTGACACGCGTTCTACACTGGCACGCGTTGCTAGGACGTTACACTGTCTTGGAACATATTAATGGGCAATGGGGTTCCCGACCTAAATTACATTCCGATTTGTTGCACGTTCTTTCATTAATATGAAATAATCAAATATGGAACAAATGTGAAAGTACGGCCGCAGGATACATCACATCACTCGTGAAAATAGCTTCCATACGCAACGAAAGCCATGGGGAGGGTGTGGGGTTCTGTCATAGTATTATACTGATAAAAACCATGAACTATAATCTTGCAATTGTGGTGAATATTATGGTAATTTCAGAGTTTGCTAACATACAAGCCAAATTAGAGACTGAGGTGCTTTATTCTCAGCTCACCTAAGTCAAGAAAAATAATTTGATGACTGTTTTGACCTAATTAAGCTAGGGGTTCTCATCACTCGGCAACAAAGAACATACAAACTCAATTTATACCACTGGTAAAAAGTGTCCAAGTACAACAATTTATCCACTTTAAAAGTGCCTGATGTTACTAAATTTAAATACTCTCAATATTGTTCAATTACCAACCTACCAATACACCAATTTCCAAAGTACCATCTAAACTAAAAATCAGTGACTTATTTATACCCAAGACACAAGGTTGTTACAGCTGTGGTGTCTATTAATTAAAACAGGCATTAATTACCCTCTCATACTTGACATTCATTCACTTTCTCACTCAATTATTTAGTATGCTCAATAAACAATTGGTTTAAGTTCATAATGAATAAATTAAAGAGTTGACATTGGAACATCACATCATCACTTTCGTGTGTATGATAGAGGTGTTGGCTACTCAATATTTAGTATCTTTTCTAATTCTGCAATTTTGCAAACATCACGGTCAAGGACTTGCAGCCATTCTAAGATTTTTCAGACAGTCAGTTAGCAAGACATACATTACATTGATACAAAGTTTGGATCATTCCTTTATCATACTAGATTAGGCTAAAGTGCATTTTTTTTCAAAATAAAATGTGTTCATTAGAATATGAACAGGTTATTTTGCTTCAAACTTCATATATAGGTTATTCACAAAATATTGCAATATTTCATGAATTACGTAGAATATAGACGGACAAGAAATGAAGAATACTTGTTGAATACATACAAGTTTGCAAATCATCATGCTGATTACCCTATCAAATAGTGAATCACACACAACACTACATCTGTGAAGCAGCACCATTAATCTTTTCTTTCATTAAGACTTTCTCGCCCAAATTTGTCTGCACTTTTTTAGCTCCGCTGTCGACTTTGTTGAGCGGAGCTTATCATATGAGTGATTGTCCGTCGTCGTCCGTGTCAATGTTTTACTTTTTCGACTTCTTCTTGAAAACTACAAGCCTGAATGCTTTGATACTTGGTGTATATGTACCTTGGGTAGACCTCTTTTAGGTTTGTTCATTTCATGTTGATATCTTCAATTCTCTAATTTTGGTGAATATTTTTGTCATTTTTGGTAAAAAGTGATATTTTCGACTTCTTGTTAAAAACCAAAGTTCAATTGCTTTGATATTACATATATAGATACTACATGTAGACCTTTCTCAGATTTGTTCATTTCGTGATGATATCTTCAATTCTCCAATTTTGGTAAATATTTTTGTAATTTTTGGTAAAAAGTGATATTTTCAACTGTACTGTAAGTCCGATTGCTTTGATACTATACATATTGTTCATTTTCTAATGATGTCTTCAGTTCTTTAATTGAAATGTGCATTGCTAACAGCGGAGCTATCTCAGCCGATAGGCTGCTTGTTTCTTATATTCTAAGTTCTAAGGCAACTGCAGACAATAAATGGGACTTTTTTGTTAATTGTGATGAGAAGAGGGAACTGGTGGTGAAAAGGTTAAGTCTAGAACAAAACAAACACCAAAGTTTTACAAAGTTGTTAGCCATCTTGCTATCTGAATGTCCGAATAGTTCTCAACGTCGCTACTTCTTAAGTTCAATGACATTTTGCACACCATACACCTGTGAAGATGCATGGCACATTAATATTCATTTTTGTATACTTTCATTCAGTTGAGCAAGTAAAGATGTCTGTTCAAAAGGAACTTCAGTGTAAACAAGAAGAATTGCAGCAATTTCAAAAGCAGTTAGAAGCCCTACGAAAAGAAAAGCATACTGAGATAGTAAAACTTCGTCTTGAGGTTTGTAAATGTTAATATGTTAACTAAGGTAATAACAAATGTTATTTTTAAACTATCACACTTGGGTATTGTACATTGTTTTTCGTGTATTGTGGTCACTGGCTACAATCATGTGCATGTTACAATCACTGGTTACAATCATATGCATATTACAATCATTGGTTACAATCCTGTGCATATTACAATCACTGGCTACAATCATGTGCATGTTACAATCACTGGTTACAATCAT